GGGAAAGCGTAGTCGACGTACACAGACGATCGATAAAACTCGACACAGGACGACCTGTGCGATCGGAATGTGAATCTCTTTCACTCTCAAGATTTCATCCACTTTCGTTCGTTTCGTTCGAGATCGCCTCGAGCCGTGGTGAACGGTTGTGAAGGAGGAACGTCGTAATTGATAAGGGTCTCCGAGTTTTTTTTCAAGCACTCTTGGTGGTTTGCTTGTTTGCACGGCTTGCACGGTTATAGCGCAAGGGGGTGTGTTCTCGAGGGCTTGCTCGCTGCTCAGTTCTCTCTCGCAAGCTCTTTTCACGCAATAAGGCGAGCAAGATGGAGCGGGTTTCCAGCAACGAGCCGAGCGTTGTACGGGCAAATTTTTTGAAATCGATCGTGCTTGCGCGACACGTCTTTTAAATACGACTTTGTCGTCCGGTCAGGTGTTATCGTTATCTTCGGACGCGATTTGTGCATGAGAAAAGTGAATGAGTCGCGAATTTGACTCGAGTTGTTCGCGAGTTTAAGAGGAGAAATTTTCGGCACGTCGGTCGTCGAGTGAAATAATTCGAGAAAGCGGCACGATTCGTCGAACTCGAGCAATCGATACAGCTCCACTTGTCACTGTGGCGAGCCACACGCCGAAACGTGTTTTCTTATATAACGTTATGATATTTCAGCAGCAATCGTGATCGCTGACAAATGCTAATTTTCCGTGACGTAATCGCGGACGTGTGTGTTCCGTTTGCGAGAAGAGAGAAGAGAACTCTTCGGCAGAAAGAACGAAATTCGAGCTAGTGAAAAGCTCAAGTAAGTTTCGCTTAAACAGTGATATCGGCAATAAAAAAGAAACGTGGTGTTTATGTAACTTACTCGCGTTGCCCGTCGAACATGGGGCAGAAACGGAGACGATTGTTACGCAAAGTTTGTTAACGAACCAATAAAACTGCAATCAGCTACAGAATGTCTGGCGTGCTAGTAGTACGAGCACACGTATGACCAGCCAGGGCGGGCCGATCCAAATAGTCTCGTCACGAATTGACGTTTCGCCGTACTCCCATCCGATAACGAACCAGGATTCCACGATACATCGAATTCCGGTTAATCATTACGCGTATAAACGAATACACGCGAGATAAATTAATTCGACGGATCGAAATATTCGACAAAAATCACAAACTGAGATAATTGCTCAGACGTGATTGCTTTCGTTCTTCTCCTACTGCGTATCGAAAGGATACTTGTAATTGCATCGAGCTGAGAAGCTTTCAAGTAAAATTCGGTAAAAATAGCAAGATGACAGTGAAAAAGATTCAATAGCAGATAGAGTCTCGGACGCGGTGTAAAAATAACGATCGTCTTCTGCAACTTCCACATTCATCTTTTATAACTTCGGAGTCGACTTCAAAGGAGTCGAAGTGAGCTCGAATCAAAATAAGCTTTATTGATTGGAATCGTACGTGTACGGCGCCTGTCTTCGGCGAAAGGTAGCCGAGCTTATTTTTATATATATACTGTCGGAAACTTTGCACTCGAGAGTAGAAAACTGCGCGCTTAACGGTGGTAGTCGGGTAGAATTTCTGTGAAATTTTTAATTTTCAAACCTTTGATTCTCAACATCGAGCAAGCAGGCAAGCAAGCAGACAGGTCAAAAGGTGGTTTCAAAATTTCTCGTACGAGCAGGGACTAGAAAGAGAGAGAGAGA